AGACTACTCTCATAGGGTCTCTTCGCTTGATGGTCATGGCTCTCTGGTTCGACAGCAGTGTCTTTGGGGCGCTCGGGCAGGGTAGTAGTGGCTGCGACAGCGACGGAGATAAGTGTCAGCGATCGATCCGCGAAGAAAAAAAAATGCAACAAGTAGCAATCAATGGCTTACTCAATCCAGCTACCGTGACAGGCTCCTCCCCTGTGACAACGTCGGTGGCAGGCTCATCGGCCTTAGAAAGCGAGGCGTCGTCCGCGGCGGATGCCTCCTGGGCGAGGTCAGCAGGCGGGGCAGTGGTGATGCCTTGAGCGACAGTGTCGGGAAGAGCGGTGGTAGCATCCGCAGTTACGGCTGCGCCAGCATCGGTGACCACGGTTTCGGGCTCAGCATCGCTCTTTGTGACGGTTTCCTCGACCTCCTGCTCGGGTACACTGGAGGGGGAAAGAAATCCTCGTGTTAGCGCGGCGCGCAAAAAGAGAATTTGTGCGATTGAACAAGATGCAACACTTACACTGCGGCCGGAGCGTCGGCAACCTTCTTCGCGGCGGCAGCACCGCCCTTGGACTTGCTCTTATTCTTGCTCTTTCCGCCTTTCTTCGCCATTGTGCGCAATTCAAACCTGTGGGTGGTGGTCCGTGTGGGCAAGCGGTCAGAGACTGGCTCTCTCAGAGGGAGGAGGAGATGGACAATGCTTGTTACTAGGTAGGGAGCGGCAGCAGATGAGAACTCACGATTTTGTTCAGGGAGGATGAGGATGGGATTGAAGGTGGATGGGCACAGGATTCTGAGAGGTCGTGCTGTCCACGATGGGGGAGATTAAGAAGAAGTCGCGCAGACTGGCAAAGTGGAAGAAGTTAGGGGCGGGCAGCAGGTATGTTGGTCCTTTCCGAATGTCTAATCAAATCGGGGAACGTTAATCCGTGGGGGAGTTGTGGCCCCGGGAAGTGCAGGGCAGGGCAGGGCTATAGTATCCTCAACAGTCATGAACTGTAACCAGTAATGACTAGATCCGAGAAGCTCAGACCATGCGCCTTAATGAATGGTGTGGCTTGGTGTAGACAGACAGAGGTTGTGAGCATCCACAAATCTAAAAAGTGGAAGGGAGAAGGGAGGAGGAGGGGAGGGGAGGAAAGAGGGTGTCGCGTCGCAGGGAGGAGGAGGGTAAGGACAATAAAATTACTCCGTTCAACTGTACACCATGCGACAGGAAGGTATTTGCGGATCCGAATCTTAAGCTGGTTACGATTGAGACGCGACGTCTACGAGAGCAATTGGACTAGGTGGGTGAGGAGCTTAGCTGTAATGAGAGGCATGATTCCAGAAGCTATAGGGAAATCTGCTCTCAGCCATGATTAGAATTCATGCGATCGACCAGGAGCTACTATCATTTACTGGGGGAACAGTGAAGCAAGCTGGGGCCCGGGGATCTATTGTTGTTTCCGCATTGAGAGCAATGGGAGGGAGGGTCTGGTTGCAGGTTTGACCCCTCGAGCTCTCATTATTAGAGAATGCTAGCGCAAGATTCAATTCTTCAAAAGTGCAGCGACTGATACATAGATTGAGGCGCAAAACCACCCCCCCCCCCCCCCCCTCCCCTGATTCCGGCGACTTCAATCCGTACCTGCAGCGAGAAGAGAGGCCAGGCTGCCAACCGTCTTCAGCCGATCGCCCGGAACAGCGGTTATTCCGGTTGCTCTGTCCCAACCAGGCAAGGGATCACGACACTATAGCAAGAAAGAGAAGCTAAGGTATGCCAAGCACTGCTGCAAGTGCAATTAATACCTTTAAACAGCCAGTATCAACAAGCATCAGATCAACAACGGCAGACCACCCAATTACTACATTGGTAGGGTAAGGTGTTGGTGTCTGGACAAGGGAAAGTACCGGAAATAACCGGGAGAGAAAGCTCCTCAACCTCGTTCGTACTCATATCTACGAGCAGATATACGTGTCATAGACCAGAAGGCCAAGAGCAAAGGATGAGACGATCTCTCTCGGCCTACGCTGCCCTTCACCAGTCCGCGCGGGATCGATTACATCATGCGAAGTGTGGCCGGGTTCAGAATACCAATTTTCCCCGGGAATGTCGCCGGTTTCAGGATCTGCTCGATTGACTGGGGGCTAGAGATACCAGGGGAGTGTCTGAGCTGGGGAACAATGGGAATGCCAAACGTGTCGCAGTCAGTGCCTTGTTCGACGGATTTATGCGCACCACGAGGATAGCCACATACCGCTCCAGCACATTCAGCCAGCATCCTGACGGATAAGGGTATGATCAGCCCGCAAACAGTTTCAGGCTGTTCTCGGGAGTCCCTGGTTCATTCCATACAACTATCAGTGGGAAAGTGCATCTCATTGAATGCCATGTCACTAAACCCTATGTATTCATACCCGAGAATAATGATGCTGGAAAGCAGTTGCGGCTTCTAGAAGGCTGAAAGGTTAACCCCGTTACCCCATGGGCGGTTGGTGTTGATGACATCATCGGAGCATTGCCTGGCCAGTGAGCCTCTTTTCCTGCCCAACCATACGCGGGGACGGCGCCCTTACATGGAACAACTTGTTACTGAGTTGGTATCTGGAAAAAGAATAACTGTTTCTTGGCGGAGTCAACACAGACACAGACCCGGATGAACTACGTGAGGATCAAAAACACAAAAATATTGACCGACGCAGGGCTCGAACCTGCAATCTCTTGATTCGTAGTCAAGCGCCTTACCATTGGGCCAGCCGGCCTTGTTGTTAAATTGAGATACTATACTTTGATTTGTGATTCAAAACAAAGCATAATCGGAAGTACCGTGCCGAGTGGAGGCAACTCCTCGGGACATCCAGCGGGGCAGTCGGAGCTCTCGGCCATCCCAGTCCGTTGATTCGCGCATTATCTCTCGTCACCGCAGCTGAATACGGTTAGTTCCCCTCTATGTGCGATTCCCATTACATATTGTTATCGCTTTCAAAACCTATGATAGAGTCTCTCACGGAAGGAACGGCGAGGAGTTTTGGTACGGGTTATCTATCTCAGTGCCACCGTCCGACCCCTTCCGGCAACTGACGTTTCGTCTGAATCCGTCGTCTGCCTGCCCCCTTCAGAAAATCCGTCCCAACCGCCACGGAACCAACAAAGAAAACGGGCGGTAGAAATTGGAAATGATGATGATGATGATGATGATGATGATGATGATGATGATGATGATGTCGGTTACTACCTGTTGTACTGTACCCGGACACCAGTCAGCCGCTCAGAGCCTTCCCAGATTGACCAGGATCCCTGGCATGGATGAGATAGGTGGTGGTGGTGGCACGTCGATCGGAACGTCTTGGCCATCCTTCTGGAAAGGTTCGGTGCAGCACCGGCCACGACAGAGACACAAACCTTGCGTCTGTTCTCCCCCGTCTCGCTGTCCTGGACTCCTGGCCCAGTCTAGGCCAGATGGGCTATGAGGTGGAGGGTGGAGGACGAGAACGAGGAGGAGAAGGACGGGGTAGGATTGTTTGCCATTTTGCCACATTTACTTCCATGCCAGGGATACAGCTTGGTTCACTTTCGGCCTGTCCGGTGGGTACGGTTCACACTGTACTGTAGTTACAGTGTCACTGTCACTGTCACTGTCACCCGCCCGGCGTTGACCAGAATGGGCCACCTGTAGGTGCATGCTTTGCGCGTCAATGGCATGGGGAGAGCTCGTGCCCCGACTGGGGTCTATCAAAGGACAGCCGTTCAGCACAGTGGCCGGAATTGACTCGGGATCGTTCCAGGTCGGCGTAGAACCAGAAGAAAAGGCAACGCTACCATGGTCGTTGTTGCCGGACCGTCGTACCTCGAGACTCGCGATGTCCAAGCGAATGCAACCTCCACCGTCAGTCAAACTCACTCTGACTCGCGGTGATTGGGGGAAGTAGGGTAGTTAGTCAGCCCTGAGGGGGGAAACTGGAAGGAAGTGGTGGGAAAAACCGGACTTCGGCACCGTGACGCCCATGCTGCAATCCCCGGTATGATTCAACCCGTCGATGCAGAAGCAGGAGCAGAAAAGTAATCCTGGTCAGATGGACTCTCGAAGATCTAGAGGGGCGATGCATGATGAAATAATGGAGTCGCAGCGGAGAAAGAATAAATACTACTATGTATTATTATCGGAGTCGATCCATCCAGAAGCCTTTCATCCATCTACTCCGTACAGAGTAGCATAGGTAGTGATTAGTGACATATCACTGCATTGCTGTACTGTACTAGAAGCAGAAGCACCACCACTACCACCACCACCACCACTTATCAACACAGTTCCTCGGACATACATTGCACTAGTCGCCGGTGTTAATTCACGCACTTCTCACCCAAGTGGATCTCGACTTACACATCCACACAATCAGATTTGCCCGGGGCAGGTGGTTGAGCGCAAAGGGTGGTAAACTAATCGCGGCTTACCAGACTGGTCCAAAACCGTGGAGTCAGGGCTGGCCAGTGCTGCAACAGCCAGCACCACCACCACCACCACCAGCCCATTGCAAGTAAAGCGAGGGAAATCGATCGATAGGAGACAACAGTTGAATGAGTGAATTAATTCAGGGGAGTTGTGTGAATTGGTAAGTTATTTTTCCCTGAGTCTTTCTTTCTTTTTGTTATCTATTATATTTTGTTGTTCATTTCATGCCTTCGATACCCAAACATTGTCAACAATCTTAATCCTTTCACTACCCTTTACTCTACGTGGTGGTGGAATGGGTTCCTGATCTCGCTTCTCTTCTCCAATCTCCAATTCTCCATATCGCTCTTATCCCACTTTCTCCCACTTTCTTTCTCACACCCACCCAAACTACCCAAACTGTTATCGCCGTGCGCTTAGCGGAATGGGGCTAAACGGCAGAAGTGACTTAGTGTCTTGAATCGCCTCGTGCCAATCAGCGATACTTATTCGTGGCCAACTAGTAATAATTTCCCCCTCGAATTGAATCATAGGTATGGAGTCCACCCGATTTCGATTACTCCTCTGAGTTAGTCGTCGATTTCTCTCTCACACTGACTGCTGCTAGCCTGCTCTGCTGCTGCTGCTGCTTAAGATACCCGCATTGCGGTTCATAGCCTTAACCCTCCCTCCTCCCTCCCTCTTCTTGCTACTTCTTGCTCTTACTTCGCCCTCTCTTCCTTCTCGCTCCTCTCCTCTCCTCTCTTCCCATTTATTGATTTCAACCCATCTCCCCTCATCTCTCCTCTCTTCCCCTCTCCACTCTAGCCATACGATGAGAACGGGCTTTGCTTATCTCTCCAATTGTTGTCTGTGCTTGCACACTCTCCCTCGCGTCCAATCGCCGACTGGGAAAGGCCCGCTACTACATTGAGGTGCGGAGTTAAACAGAGTCAACGCTTAATCTCCACACCTGCACAACCTCGATATCTATTCTCCATACCTCGACTACTTACTTCTCCTCCCGGCCACAATGAATTTCCGTGAGAAGGTTCGTCGAGTGTTCCGTCGGAGCAGCAGCTCCTCCTCTTCATCCAAATCCAAGGGCAACGGGATCAAGATCGAATATTACAAGCGCCATGAGATTCCTCGCTCCAAATTCAAGGGTCCCTTCGATCGCGAACACCAACGGCGCCTCGCAGCATGGTCTTTCCAAGGGACGCAAGAAGAGCGACGCCGGTCGTTAGATTTGTCGCTGTCCCCTTGTACATCATTACCGGACTACCTGAGACCTCAATGTGACGAGGAAGACCTGGCCCCGGATCAGATCCCAACGACGGCCCCGGAGGTAGATGTGACGACTGGTATGTGGAACTATTCACTTTCTTCGCGGTCAACTCCGTCTTCCATTTCTTCTGGCCCCAGCAACTTGTAAGATGACCGCGTTCTGACCATATCAATAGCTTCGATTTCCGTGGACCATGATGAGTATGCTCCAGGCCGCCAGGGGGACAGTAGCGGCTCGACCTCGTCGACGGCCGTGGATCCGGAGAGCTACAGCGAGTCCCTGATGACTCTCCTTCCGGAACTCGAGCAGGAGGACCCGATCGCACTACTGAAGGAAACCATCCGGTACACCTCTCCGGTTGTACGGGCCATATCGCCGCCTCCAATGTCGCCCAAGGGCGCTTGCATGCCCTTCGCCCCCGAGGATCTGACACGAGCGTTGAACGCCGTGCAGATCTGCTACTAGAACTTATATTTATCCTAATAACCGCATCGACTTCCGGCAAGATCTTCGCTTCTCCTCGTCACGTGAGCCATTCACCCAATGAGCGCCCGCCATCCCGACGATCCATCCATTTGTTCTTCCACCATAACCTACCACCTCTAGACGGAGCACAGCCTCTATTACCGACTACGACATCTTCCACACGCAACCCTTCTATTTTAATCCCAACCAACTCCTTCTACTCCTAACAACAAGGGCCCTTGAGAGAGCCCGAAATCCGAATGCTCCGGCCACCGCCCGGTCCCATCCATCAGCCAAGACCTCGGGTCCAGAATCCATGCATCGCACGACGTGAGGGGCATGTCGGCTATTGCATTTGACTGGCCCAGCGTCACTGCCGGCTGACATTTGACTTTCCACGCATGAGACGAACGAATGTTGAAAAGCGCCTGGCTTCTTATGCATATTCTATATGCTTTCGTGCATTTGCAATTGAGCGTATACCCTTTGCAGTCAAGTTTCTCTTGCCGACCGTGTTGGTCGTGCTGCTGCTGCTGGCGGTGTTGCATAAATGCTTACCGTACTTCACTCTCTTGGGGGTTTGCCTACTACTAGCAACCTTCGTGAAGCAGAGGAAGAAAGACCAGCCCAAGCTACATGACTTTTTTTTTACTCTACCGAATCTACCCAGCAGACCACTAACATTGTCATCAGGTAGTGCAGTAGACCAATGAATGAAGAAATCAAGAATTTTAATCCTTGCTTTTCGTAGAGTAGTAGCCCGCAGACCTTGCCACCATTCCCACGTAGGGAAGCCCTGTCCATACCAATGCCTATGCCTACCCAAACCGTCCCCATGAATGAGTTACCCCAAGATCTGAGTAGAAATCGTAATAGGGATAGGCAATCACACCTAGGTAGGTAGTGGTCTCCACCCTCCGCAACACTATGAATGACTAGAAACTGTAGTAAACAATAGAGCTTCCACTTTCCAAGTTGCCCGCCCCTTCCCCTTTCCCCTTTCCCCCCAGATCCACACTCCACATGCCCGCACATCTCCAACCCACCAGCTTCTTGGCATTCGGCGCATCACGCATCATCTTGACCTCAAGGCTCAATCGTATAGTCCACAAAGTCATAGTCATACTGATACCGTACACATTTAGCTTAGCTTAGCCCAGCCCAGCCCAGCCTTTCTGGAACCAACCTAAATGACCACTAAGTTAACCTAACTGAAGTCACGACTGTTAAGTTGAACTTAGCTTCCAGACCCTAGGACCGAACAACAGCCTCGCCCCTCCTTTCTTCCCCTCTGTTCCGCCCGCCGCCCTCCCGCAACCCAAATTCCTGATCCCTAAGGTAGTAGTCACTTGGGTCAGGCTCACTTGGGTATGGATGGATAAGGCGTGCAATCCAATGGCAGAAAAAAAAAAAGACAAGCACTAATACCGAGTAGATACCTAGGCTGACTAGGTAAAACAATTGCCAAGCCATCTGGTGGCGTGGCTCTGTTCGACCTGGCTAGACCGCAATTACTACCTCCGTGGGAGGGGGAAGGCGGGATTCTAGAAGAAGTAAACCCAAGAAGAATACCGTAGGTGCTTAGTAGAAGTGTGCAGGGTTACCGAATAAACCTAACTGCAGTCTAAGTTGCAGGGTCAGGGAGGCGACAATTTGGGTAGAGGAGGGGAGGGCGGGAGCTCTACGTTCTGCATCTCTTGTGCATGCGTTGCATCTGGGTCTTGGCTTTTCTTGAGGGTGGGGGTTGTGTTGGACTCAGGACCGGGGGAAGGGGGTGGCTATGATGGTAGAATGGTAGGAGTGTACAGTATGGGTGGCGAGATTGGAGAGTGATGGTTTTGTTTAGTCGGATTGTGTTTGTTAGTATCTCGCAGGCTATTGTTTGTGGCAGTTTGAATGGGGTTACTGATTTTTTGCTGCTGATGCGGAGGATATATACTAAATGATAGTTGGTGGTTGCAGGGCAGCCGACTTCTATGCGACGAGCCTACTGCTGACTCTACATGTCGGATGGATGCTCAGAATAGTTCTCGTACACTTCATATCCGGTGTTTTGTTGCTGGTCATCAGTCATGTCATCTATACAGGCTTTAGGTGAAATGCAGTCCATATATCCCTTCATCAACCACGCTTTGGTTCAGTCCTCGTGGGTGACGGCCATGTCAAGAACCTCCACGCGTCCTCTGCCACGGGTCTCATTGCCAACGAAGTCGTTCAAGCCCTTGAACGCGCCAGGCTCCGCAAATCCGATGACCTCCCACTCGTCACCGCCGACGACCTCCTGCGCCTCCACTGACTCGATATAGCTGAGGATCTTGTCTTTGACGTTGCTGGGTCCCTTAGCGGGCGCCGCCTCAGCGTCAGAGCCACCGGCCTCATCCTCGGAGTCCTGCTGACGGGCCGACTTCTTCGACCCCTTCCCACCCTTCTTGTTCCCCTTAGTACCACCCTTGGGCGGCGGCGTCTCTCTCTCCTTGTTCGCTCCGCCCGCACCCCCAGCTACCTTGACACTCTGCTTCAACAGCGACACCGGACAAGTCACCCGCAGGCGCATGCGGGCCCGCATCACGGGGATCGGCTGCCACGCGATCAACGCCTTCATCGCATCGAGCGCCTGACTCTTCGCGGACTTGTTCGCCGCGACCCCCGTCCACAGGGGCTTCCGGGGCGCCGCGCCGCCGCGGTTCTCGTCTCCGTCACCGTTTGTCTCGCCGTTGCCGGCCGCCGGGCCCTGTGTCTGTTGCTGTCCGCTCGCCGAGCTCAACTGATCCAATGCCTTGGAGATCATGCCGGGCGTGTAGACGCGCTTCGTCGTGGGGTCCACCAGCCGGCCCGACACGATGTCCAGGATCTCTTTCTCGACGCGCTCGATGATCTCCTTCCGCTCGCGCTCGCCGACCTGCACCTCGCCCTTGCGCAGGATCTCTTGCCGGATCTCGTCGGCGGGCGTGTCGGCGCCGAACGCCTTGGCGAGCTCGGCCGACGGCGCCGTCTGGGCCTTCGAGACCGACAGGAAGATAGTGGGTACTTGGAGGACGTTGTCGAGGTCTTTCTCGGCGCCGGACCGGTATTCCAGGAGTTTGTTCTTGTAGCAGGCGAGTTCGAAGCGCTTCTTGCCTGGAGAGGTGGGGTGTTAGCGGGGGTGGTGAAGGGAATTCTGGTGAATTATTTCAAAATTTGAGATCGCCGGTCTTGGAAACTAGCCCCAGCTGCATCTCCAGACGATTGCGCTTGGGTATATGGTGGACGTAGTAAAAGAGTTGGCCCGCTTACCCTTCTTTAATCTGACGACTGATACATTGGTGAATTTGATCTGATTCGAGGGTTGGTTGATCGGCATCTTGGAAGAGGCTTCCTTCGCGGAGAAGCCGAGTGCGTTCCGCTGGTCTTATCAAGAAAATGTGTCACAGAAGATGGGTATCTGGTGGTAGGTTTGTTTATAGAGGGGTATGTCTGGGTTTCGTCTGAAAAAATGATGCCCGCATCCAGGCAGGCAGTGGCCCGACGGGGCTGTGATTGGAGGAACGGGCGATGACGCTGGTCCCGTGAAATCTGCTTAGTCATGACATGTGACTCGGCGCGTGACTCGCCTTGGTCCGGAAGGCACCGCGGTTTGATTGGCCGCCTCCTCCCCCAGCTATCAAGGCGTCATCTGCAGGCCAACGCCGGACCTCTCCTTCTTCCCTTCTCTCTCTCTCTCTCTCTCTCTCTCATCCTCACCTCCTCTTCTGTCTTCTTGATTTTCTTGGTAGGATCAAGTAGCTGGTGTTCTATCGGCTACAATTCTTTCCAATTTCATCTGCCCTGAGCTGTAAGCTTATCTCCCCATCCCCAGCTACACCCGTCGTGCCCTGATAGCCCATGCTGATAAGCACCTTGCCTCCCAGGTGCCATCCAGACCGCAAGGTCCTTGCCATCCTTCTCTCCTCAATCCATCAAGGACTCAACCCAAGCCCTCTGATAAGTAAACCAAGATCATCATGAGAGTCCTTCCAGCTTCTTTGCTGGTCGGAGCGGCTACCGCTGCCGTCTCCTCTCCCTTCCAGCAGGTTCTTGGAGACGTCAAGTCGAACCTCAAGTCGACCGTCGAGAGCTCCTCAGAGCCCCTGCACGCTTTCAAGGAGCAGCTGAAGACTCTCTCTGATGATGCTCGTAAGCTCTGGGAGGAGGTTGCCAGCACCTTCCCCGAGAGCATGGACCAGAACCCTCTGTTCTCTCTGCCCAAGAAGCACAACCGTCGTCCCGACTCTCACTGGGACCACGTCGTTCGTGGCGCCGATATCCAGGACGTCTGGGTTACTGGTGCCAACGGCGAGAAGGAGCGGGAGATCGATGGCCGTCTGGAGGCCTACGATCTCAGGGTCAAGAAGACCGATCCTAGCTCCCTCAACATTGACCCTAATGTAAAGCAATACACCGGTTATCTTGATGATAACGAGAATGATAAGCACCTGTTCTACTGTAAGTGACAATTATGCCTGAAATGATCCGATTCAACACTAATTTTCTGAAGGGTTCTTCGAATCTCGCAACGATCCCGCCAACGACCCCGTTGTCTTGTGGTTGAACGGTGGCCCCGGCTGTTCGTCTCTGACCGGTCTCTTTATGGAGCTTGGGCCCAGCAGCATTGATGAGAACATTAAGCCCATCTACAATGATTTCTCTTGGAACTCAAATGCCTCAGTCATCTTCCTTGACCAGCCCGTCAACGTTGGTTACTCCTACAGTGGCTCTGCTGTTAGTGACACTGTTGCCGCTGGCAAGGACGTCTATGCTCTGCTTTCTCTCTTCTTCAAGCAGTTCCCCGAATACGCCAAGCAAGACTTCCACATTGCTGGCGAGTCTTACGCTGGTCACTACATCCCTGTCTTTGCCTCTGAGATCCTCTCTCACAAGAAGCGCAACATTAACCTCAAGTCTGTGCTGATTGGCAACGGTCTCACCGATGGCTTGACTCAGTACGAGTACTACCGCCCCATGGCTTGCGGTGACGGTGGTTACCCTGCTGTCCTGGACGAGGCCTCCTGCCAGTCCATGGACAACGCCCTGCCCCGCTGCCTGTCCATGATTGAGTCCTGCTACAGCTCCGAGAGCGCATGGGTCTGTGTTCCTGCCTCGATTTACTGCAACAACGCCCTCCTGGCCCCTTACCAGCGCACGGGACAGAATGTCTATGATGTCCGTGGCAAGTGCGAGGACGACTCCAACCTCTGCTACAAGGGTCTGGGATACGTCAGCGAATACCTGAACAAGCCCGAAGTCATTGAGGCTGTCGGTGCTGAGGTTGGCGGCTATGACTCCTGCAATTTCGACATCAACCGTAACTTCCTCTTCCATGGTGACTGGATGAAGCCCTACCACCGTCTGGTTCCGGGTCTGCTCGAGCAGATCCCCGTCTTGATCTATGCCGGTGACGCCGACTTCATCTGCAACTGGCTCGGCAACAAGGCCTGGACCGAGGCTCTCGAGTGGCCCGGCCAGAAGGAGTACGCCTCCCTTCCCTTGGAGGATCTCAAGATCGTCGACAACGAGCACAAGGGCAAGAAGGTGGGTCAGGTCAAGTCCCACGGCAACTTCACCTTCATGCGCCTCTACGGCGGTGGCCACATGGTTCCCATGGACCAGCCCGAGTCCAGCCTGGAGTTCTTCAACCGCTGGTTGGGCGGTGAATGGTTCTAGATCGGACCTGCTGCTGCTGTTGCTGCTGCTCTTTGATATAAGTTACATACTTGCATATTGCTGCCTGCGATGTAGTACCAGCTTTCAATCTGCTACCTTACGACTTAGTTGTGGTGCATTCGATGTCAAGTTGCACCCAGGATCTATGACCACATGATTGCTGTACTTTTTTGTTGTCATCTGCGAACACATTTACTAGAATTGATGGAATGATCAGGTATCACGTTACTCAGTATTTACTCAATAGTGATTTATATTTCGCTTGTCAAACGCCCTGCACGAAAAGTAGTCCTGCAAGGTTTTGTTTCGGTAGTATCCAACCACATCGCCGAACTCCGCCCCGTACCCCAGTCTGGACCCCGTGGGTTCGAGAACCGAAGCGATCAAGTCCGCATCGTAGCGTACCTCTGAGCGGCGAGTGTCCACAGAAACCTCAAGGCGGGCGACAGCTGGCTGAGAAGCCATCATCTTGAGAACAGAGGCGAGAAACTACTAGGTATTCAACGTCTACCGTGCTGTCCGACGAACCAGGCACCAGGCACCACCACGTGCCCTGCTTTTAACCCACTAGAGTATACTCCAGGTACAGTACAGCACCACCAAGGCGGGAAGAGACACAACGACCTTGGTGCCCATGCAATGGTATAACCCATGTGGTAGGTTGTATGTCAATCAACAGCAGCATCATGACTCCCCCCTTCAGTGCTTTCAGTAGACAGACCTTTAGCGATCGACGAGTGGGATGGTAGTGTATTGTACCGTGTAGATCTACCGTTCTTTCCGAGGCCCGGGGTCGGCGCAAGGACCGTGGTTCACGGGGTGTTTCGGTTCGAGGGAGCTGGGGTGAGGGATGGGCTGGCTGCCACTGCAGTGCCAGTTGGGGTCTTTGCTTTGTACGTGGTGAGTGGCGAAATGGGGGGGGGGGGATATTGTTTGCTTGAGTAAGATTATGGTATACCTGATAGTTGGTGGGTGGGATAGGCAGAATGGCAAGAGGTGTAGAATCAGGTATAGCTTTCATGTTGGCTGAAGCAAGTAATAATCAAGCCCAGTAGTATATGGGACGGACTGAAAATACAAGGTATATAAGAAGATATGACTCTCGGCATTTACTGGGACCGGTGATGATTCATGAAGCTTAATAGCGTACGGGACAAATAAGATGATATAAGATACACACCCACTGTTATCATAGTAGCGGCGTGAAATGAGGGAGTACTGGCTTTGGTGCTTTCCATAGTCTGTGACATCGAAATACGAAGACCAGGTTGGATGTGGGTAGAGCATGATACTGGATGGGTGATGGCAGGTTCTACGAAATATGAAGGCAAAGACCAAGGTTGGTTTTTTTTTTTTTTTGAATTTCATTTCATGATGGTATGATTTCTTTTCATTTTCGCGGGAGACTCGAGATCAAAAAACCCCTTGTCTGGTTCCCAACGAAAGGGGGTAATTTTCATTATCACACCAGCATCTCAGACACAGTTGCCCCCCCGACTCTCTTTTAATCCCATGATCCAAAGTAGCCCAGACCCGCGCAAGAAAAGAAAGAAAATAAACACAAAGCTCCCAGTGAGGAAATGCTTAGTTCTTCTTCTTGCTGACACCGACGGTGCGACCACGGCGACCGGTGGTCTTGGTGTGCTGACCACGGACACGGAGACCCCAGTAGTGACGGAGACCGCGGTGGGAGCGGATCTTCTTGAGGCGCTCGAGGTCCTCACGGATCTTGCTGTCGAGGTTGTTGGAGACGACCTGGGAGTTCTTGCCGTCGGTGATGTCGCGCTGTCTGTTCAGGAACCAGGCGGGAATCTTGTACTGCTCGGGGCTCTGGAGGATGGTGACGACACGCTCGAGCTCTTCGGTGGTGAGCTCACCGGCGCTGTAGGAAGATAAGAATTAACTGACTGTTGCCGGGATATATGATTGAAGTGATTTGAAGTGGAAAGGCCAGATGTGCGGGCGTGGATTTCGTTCTCCGTAGTGCATTCCTCCTGTTTCCTTCAAGATGTTGCTGCATTGGTGGCGCTGCTTCCTCTTGTTTCTTCTGGATTTTCCGGACTTCCGACATCTGCGTGTGGAATGGGTGTGATGGAGGACTGGAGGATAAAAACGTACCGCTTGGTGAGGTCAACATCGGCCTTCTTGCAGACCAAGTTGGAGTAACGGCGACCAACACCCTTGATCTGGGTCAAGGCGTACATGATCTTCTGCTTACCGTCAACATTGGTGTTGAGGAGACGCAGAATGTACTGGAAGTTGGTCTTCTCGCCGGACACAAGCGCTATATGTCGACAAAAAAACCATCAGCATTTCCGTTCACATTTCAGCGCATAAAAACCAGAGTCCCGTCTGTCCAACGCGAAATTTATTCCCCAGAGCATTTCCACGCCATGTTCCATATCCGGTCGGTCTGTCGATAACAGAGAATCCCTCTTTGCCGAGCTGATGCTTTTCATTTTTGATATGTTGCCGTCGTAGCGATAAAATTTCCTCCCGTCATCGCAATATAGCCACCCAGAACGATTTTCTTTCCTTGACCACCGACCGGATATAGAACCAAGGCAGGCAACGCCACAAAAAGGAATAAGATCGGTCGGACATGAGGGATCTGGAGAGACTGAGAGATTTGCACGTACACATGATGGGCGATTTGGGGCGGGACCGCGGTGAATTGTCGACAGGCGAAAGGGATGGGAGAAGGAGGGTGAAGTCGTGGGCGTTGGCGGTGCTTCTCAATCTCTTTCCTCTGCGACTTTCGCAAGCCCGTTGTGGGATCGGGTAAGCTGGTTACTAACCATATCGGGCATGGTCGTCCTGAGGGCTCGCTTATGGCCCGCGCTAGGCTGCTTCGGGCTATATTGTCACCTGCCCTGCGCTGGGTCGGGGGTAAGGCACGTGATCGGATGTTCGTCGATGCCTCAGGTTGGGGGTTTACCTTAATACCAAAAATAGGCAAGGACCGTCAGTATGCGTCTTTGTAGAAGATTCAAGAGGGGGGGGGGGCCATTCCTTAATGAAGCAGTGACAAGGTCTATGCTTGTATTCTGTGGAGCTTGTCCTTCCAACACAATTCGATTGACCGTTTTCTAGGGCCAAATCCATAGCTGGTTTGGGCGTCCGTATGGCCGCATCTTCCACTCTAGTGTTTATGGGATGCTGTCATGGCGACTCCACCTGACACAACACTACGTACTACAAGATATCAACACTGAAGCCATCAGGTCAATCTGAGCTGTTTGCCAGATCGTAATTGAGTAGCAGGCACAGACCAATACAGTAAGAAAAAACACTGATTGCTCCAGTCCATTCCATAATGATTTGTAGCTTAGTAACACGTGCCTAGTCAGATCTTTACCTGACCACAAGAACATTTTCTTGCTTTAAGTGCTATGAAAAAGTTATGACCAGATATGCTTTGACTCTTCCAATAAAGGAAGAAGAGTTTAACCACAGTTAAATTGTATGCGCTTGGGTGACTTAGATTTTAGTGGGTAGGACATGAATTGTCCAGCAAAATCCCAGTGTTGCCTGGCACTAAGCTGATTCACTTAACTGATTTTTCGGCAGAAGTCTCAACTTGTCTATTCCTTCACTGCCCACCGGTGAATATGTGATTTGTCACTTGAAAATGTGTTCTCAGTTCTTACTTCCCGGCTGAAGTTGTTCTTGACTTTTTCTCCAAGCTTTTATCTCGTGTTACTTGATCCAGTCCATAGAAGTTCTTCTACAGTAACAACAAGGCACGCCTTCCTCCATCCGGTAAGGTTCCCGCCTCTAGCGAAATTAAGCGAGAGTTAGCGCCGTCACTCATACTCCCGAACTATAGCACGCAAGATGGTCCAGGGACAGCTACAGACTGGGGGAAGGAGGTCGGCCAGGAGCCGGAAAGATCACCACATCCATGCCATCTCACGCCCGGAGGTGAGATGGCATGAGATCCAGTATCCCGATCCTGAGCTCCGTTTTGAAAAGCTGGCTGTGGAGACTCTGCCCGCCCCCCCCAAGGACTTCACCATCGGAGGGAAACGAAGCCACGGGCTCACCAAGGGTGGGCACGCCAGGAAAGAAGACCTGGAGATGCTGCTGCAGTTCCTGGTCTGGGGCTTTGATCATGATCTGATAATACACGAAGCCACCTGCGACCAGCTTGGCGCTATGATCTTCAAGCTCATCTTCAACCGAGCGCCGGAACATCGACCACAGACTTGGAACGAATTATTCGACGTGACGAGAGACGCGGGCCCACGTTTGCTGTCAAGAGCCATCGATCGGCCATGCATCCCAGTTAGTCGCTATTACCCCAGTCTTGAGAATGGACCGGCCATGCCGGCTGGGCTGATTTTTCAGAGACCGCTGGACGCTTCCCCATATCTCTCAGATCTCTGCATTCACCGGATGTCTTTGCCCTCGACTGGTGGCTCTCTTAGTGCTGCTGTTACACCGCAACCTAACACTCCAAATGAGAACACCATCTCTTTCAATTCGAGCCCTTCGCACTCATCATCTCTTCCAGCAACGCAACTCACCATTCAGCTCGCATCAACCGAAAGCATGACGAACTCGCACAACGATCCTTCCAACAAAGAGACCCAGTCAGCCCAGTCTTTTGGTCTTCCTCAAGCTGCACCTGTAGACCCAGCTCAGACCAACGAAGCTTGTCTCAGCAGAAAAGCTACGGAACACGCCATCATGCAGGGTACAAGCCCAGACAACAACATCACCATCGAAGAACCCGTGCCGTCCGTCGACTCCAGTATGCTCGATGCACTGATTGTGGTGGCTCAGTTGCTGAAGCTAGGCTCATCCAAGGACAAGAGCAATGAGAGCGAGAGACAGACTTTCGACGGAGCGGAGCTCGCCTTCCGCGAAGCTATAAGCCAAGACTGGGACACCTGCGCCCACGAAGAAGGTGCTCGGCTGATAACTCGTCTCAAAGTTGAATTGGAAAAGCTCAGCGTCAGCATTGCTACAGCGCCCCAGAATGTACGAGACGCTTGGATGGCATTGACGAAGTCCTTCACCCAGTTCGACTATTTGTCTGCAAAGAGATATTCCTCGTGTTCCTGTTTGCCTGACGATCTCCCCGGATCTCCCTTCGTTGACGAGGGACTTGCTGTGAGACACCACATATTCATGCCACTCGCTGAGAGCGCCGACGCAGACAGAGTGACCATACAGGACCTCCTGGGCCGTTGGTTCGGGAAGCGGTGGAGCGAGGATTGTGTCCTCTGTAAACAGCCTGGCTCCGTGGCTACGGATATGGCATTTCAGAGCACTCCCTTGTGCTTAGTGGTTGCGCCCGCTCCCGGAACCTCCCTTCATGAGCATACGCGTGACATCAACATCAACTACATTGACTTCACAGGTACTGAATGTACTGCATCCTATAGATGGACAGGAGGCATCTATTACAATGACAGCCGCCTACGTGTCTACTGGACTGATACCAAAGTGAGTGAGCATGATAGTGGAAATATCCGTGCTTATGAGAGCCGACTGAGATCGGTTTTCATGGTCGAATCCCACGCTCAGTCCAACCCTTTTGATCGAGTGCCCCCAGTTTGGTGGGAGAATAAGCCTGTCCCATTACTGTTCTATGAGTGCACCTGGAGACCTGAATCCGAACACATGGAAAGGCCCACTGAGTCCCTTGATGACATGCTTGCGGCCCTGGATGGTTTTGACAACCAGCTGGTGACGCAAGCAACTATGACTACCAGCCTTGCAGTTCCTGCCCTTCACAGCCAGCTAATGACGCCACCAACCACTACTTCCAGCCCTGAAGGTCATACCCCACACAGCCAGCTGATGGCACAGATGACCGTTCCTCTCCCCGAGGTTGATGCCGCTCACAGCCAGCTGATCACACCATCGAGCCATGCAGGGCAGGAGGAGTTGCAATATTCGGATTCTCTATATGGCTATGGCTTTGGAGACTTTATCGGCCAGGAACTTTTCTCGGTTTTCAACGACAGTTACATGGCTATGGACGCTTCTTTGCCATCAGCCCAAGCACCAGAATTTGATCCACACACCGAAATGTCTGAGGCGGATTTTGCGTTGAGCGAAGGTGGTTTTGAAGAGCTGTTGAATAACTCCGCTCTGCAAATTAATTGGTCTTTGGTTTCCGATGAGCCTCGTCCATCCTCTGCTGAGTCCGATGTGGGGCATCAGCAGGAAAGTACTGATATCGTGATGCAGGATGTCTTTGGAGGTGGTGAAACCGATGATTCGAAGACCGTTGAAAAGTGACATTGCCGTTGAGCCGTGGACTGTTCATCGGTTGTTTGTTTTTTTGCCTTCTGAATTGAGCATGTACACTGATTGGATTTGCTTCTGATCTAGAGTTGTACATTAGCCAGGTACAAGATGGTACATACAGCAGTGCCCAAGTTTCATGTCCATAATTTTCCTTTACTGTGTTGTTAGCAGAGAACATGAAACTTTACTGATGTCGAATGATATTTCGAACAGAATCAGTCGCCTGAAATTCCGGTCACCAAGTAACTAGACGTACCTATCCGATCCATCATTTGTCCTTCATTCGTGGATTAACAAATTGAACTGAAATTAATGTCACGTTGACAGTGCCGAGTCAAGGCAGTCAGCCAATAGAGGGACGGGGGAAGTCAGCTCCAGCCGATCCTTGTTGCTTTCCCCGCATTTCACCCTCGTTGCAAATCGCCCCGTTTCCCTCAACCTCAACTTAGCCTTCTCTCAGACTATTCTTCTGCGAAAGACCCCTATCAGACTTGGTTATCCAGGTGAGATGTTGACGATGGTTGGTATCAGTCGATTTCATCTATTAGATTCACATATGAAGCATGAGAGGCTAACTCTAACTATATCCATCTAATCTAGAGCCCATGTATAAGAAAAACAACGCATTCCGACCGGACAAACCAGCCTCAAATCTATAGCCTTGCACGAACAGCTTCTTTCTTGGACTGTCTCGGCGGGCCCGTGGGGGTATCGCTCTTCTTGGGTGCTGAAATATAGCCTCCTCTGACGTTGTCCGCGTTAATGACCAACCCCTTCTCGTCTCTCTTGATGCCGAGCTCGATCAACTTCGCGAACGCCTTTGCAAAGTGATCGAAAAACAGCTCCTTATCCTTCGCATACTTCACCACCCACTCCTGGAACTTCGGGTCCGTCTTCAGCGCGATATCCGTGGGCAGCATCATCAACATCTCGTCGCCCTCCTCCGCATCCGGATCCACAAAGACAAACTGCGACATCCCGTTGCCCAGCTTCTTCGGCGTCCACTCCAGTTTCAGTAAGAGGTTGAAGAACTGGTTGGAAAATCGCGTCGGGTTGTTGACCCACGGTCCCTCGAATCCGCTGCGGTCGGTGTGGCATCGGCCCAGGTTGTGTCCGCCCGCCAATGCGACGATCTCCTGGTCGTTGAAGCCCATCCGATAGAAGATGAAGCGGAGGTGATCAGCGCCCAGGGCGCCGTCCGGTAAGCGGCCGCGTGGAGGCACCTTGGAGTCATCGACGAGATCGGTGCGGCCTGGTTGCCATGGGACTTCGGGCCCGCCCATCTCCTTGATGGCAACCACGCCGGCTAACGTCCACAGGTCTGAGTATGTGATCCAGGGGTGTTTCTCTTTGACGGGCTCGAGGAATGCGCGACCGAACTGGAGGCCTGCGTTGGCCGGGTCCCCGCCTTCAGCTTCATAGCGCATG